TTTTCTTTATTAATATTACTAGCATTACATGAAAATAAGAAGCTGTGAAATCCCAGCTTTGATATTTGCACCCAGTAAGTATCAAGCCATTATTAGTAACTATTCCTATTTTCAGTGTTCCTTTATGCACCACGTAGAACTGTCTCACAAAGACCAGTCATGCAGATCATATTTTGGAGGAACCTGAGGTGGAGCGAGAAAGCTCACAGGAACCTCTCATCCTGGGGGAGAACGTGCTAAGGGCCTCGACCATTTACCTGTCATGGCCTAAACAGCAGCCACCTGTTCATTTCCTCACCATTGGTGTAGACCAGGGACGGTGACTTTCAGTGTGTTCAGTGGTAAACAGCCCACTGTGGCACATGTCCTGTAGGTGTGCCCCCACTGGGTTACACAGCTCTGTTGGGAGGTGGTGAGTCAATTCATCCTTCTTTCTACCACCAAAAAGGTGAATGAACTTCTTTTTGCAGAGCCATTTATGCTTATGTCATACGTTTTAGTTGAAACCCTTTTGCTTAATCAGAAACTTTAACTGGGAAAATTAAACCATGTTCCTTGTCTAAATTTCAGTAAGAGAACCACAGGCTGAAATCTGCAGGCTGAATTCATCTGAAACCCTTGTGACCTGTATTTTGGGGACCAAAGGCCAGTGCTTTATGTTCAGGAAAGTCAGCTCTGTGTTCTGGAACTGGACTGTCTTAAGCCCCATAGGAGCACATGTGCCTTCTCACCAGGACCTAACCCTGGGACACTCCCTTCCAGCCCACTGAGCAGGGGAGATGAAACCAACAAAGACACCTAGGGCCACGGGTTCCTTCCGGGGAGCTATGTTCTCTCACATGGTCTCATTTTCCCCAAGTCTGGTCTGTGTAACAGTTGGATCTCGTAGTTTAAGCTTCTCTGGGTCAATTCCCGTAGCCTCGGCTCAGCCCTGAATTGCTGCCTGTGCAGCACAGAGTCCTTGGTTTCTCAACAGGTAGGATGTACTGCTAGGCTCTGTGGGTATGAAAAGGAATCCACCTGCACCCTCCCTAGAGCTAAAAACAAACAGCCTTGCCAGACTGGAGGGCCACAGTGCTTTCTAAAGAAATTCCAATAATGAATAAGTATATTTCTAATTTGTTCGAGGAATTAAAAGTAAACAGTGCAAAACTGGATCACAGTGGCCAAGGGTGGATAGTATTCCGACCTATATACATCAGAAATACGTTATGTAATATTATAGGACTCGGAATTTAAATGTGATTTTTAGAATTAAGTCCTTAGCATTTTGAATTTAATTGAGGCATGTAAGCCTTAAAGCATGATGGACTCAAAAAGCACTGTCACAGTAGTTTTTGTGGGTACAGTAATGACCAGCAGGGGGCGCGAGGGAGCTGGGAACTTTGTCCTCATCTCTGAGCGTAGCTAATTGTCAACAGGCAATCCCTATATGAAAAATTGATCAAGCCAGATTGCAAGATATGTAAAGTTTATTATATGTAAATTTATGCTTATGGAAAAGAAATCCTCTAAAAACAAAAGACAAAGACTGTAAAAAGGTTTTACATTTTTTAAAACTCATTAACAAGATACCAATTTCAAGAGATACAGTTACATTGCAAAATGTAATTCTCTTTTAAAAAGCTAGTAATGACTTAACTGATGAATTACAAATGTAGCTATTAGCGATTAAAAACAATACTTAGGAATTTAAGCAGCTTGAGTAGTTAAGCTAGGCAAAGAAAATTCTTGTTCTCATATATATATATATATATATATACATATACATATACATATATATATAAAATTCCAGTAATATTCTCTTAAATTCCTGTTAAAAATATAATCAGTATTATAGTCAGCAAAATGCCTTTGACTGACGCCTGGATTATTTTACCACTTTACCTGGTTACACAGTGATTTTTTTTTGTCAGATGTAACTGACATCAGTTTTGTCTTTAAGATAAATGAAGTGATAACTCACATTGCAGCATCATGTGGAAAATATTCAAACTACATGTAAAATGCTCTTTTTTTAATTAAATGGAGAAATCTATTGTCCCACAAAGAGTTGTTTCTCACAAAGAGTGTAAAACTACAGGTTGGCTATGGTAATAGCAACTAAACTACATCCAACCCTGAAGGTAGAAAAGTCCCTGAAAAGAAATACACAGCCTAGTTATAATATGCCATATAAAGGTTGTATTCTTATGTTTTAAACTTCTCCCAATGCGGAGAAACTCTGATGCTTCCATGGTTCCCTTACTAGGCGGTGGCACATAAAGTTATTTAGTGAACATTATCACGATCATGGCTTACGATTTAATTCAATATGACAAACACTTATACATAGCAGCCGTGGTTTGGATGTTGGTTATGACAATATTTGCAGTTCAACTGAAGAACACGCACTGGTTAAATTTGGTACAAAGCTTGAACACTCAGGACAGATTGGCACAATACATGCAGATAGAGAATTCTCTCTTCAAGTCAGACATCACCAAATAAGCCATTTTCCTAGTCCTGTTCCCCAAGCTTCCTCCGCGGTATAGGCGATGTTTGGTGCCAGGGCTTCGGAAAACATCGCCCAGAGTAAGGAAGGAGCCAGGCAGTCATCTGAAGGCGTGGTGGAAGTGCGGCAGGATGGCCGTGCTGGCGCCGGCCGTGAACACGTGCGGGATGGGCGGCAGGGGCAGCTGGCCCAGGCTCACGGCGCCCACGGCCAGCGGGGCCTCCTGCTGCTGCGGCCCCAGGCAGCCCAGCCGATGGGGATGGGGCAGGGGCTCGGCGGGCCCCAGGGCGAGCGCACCGCTGCCAAAGGCGTTCTGGGCGGTGGGCGGGGGCAGCTGCCAGAGGCTCAGCAGGGACGAGAGGTCCAGGGAGGCCGGGATGGTCAGGTTCACGGCATCCGCGGGCAGCTCCTTGGGCAGGCCGACCTTCCCGGGCCCCGCCTTGGCCAGCTCGAAGCCGGCGCTCAGCTTGTGAGGTGACTGAGGCTCTGGCAGCAGCAGGTCCTCGAACAGACCGACGCTGCAGAACGCTTTCGTGTCCGCCTTGAGGGGCAGGCCCGCCAGGACGGGGTATGAGGTAGAAGTGGCGTTGTACTTGTGATTCGGCAGGGTCGGGGGAGGAGAGCCGGGGCCCACCGTGGGGTGCAAGGCGGCCAGGGGCTCCGGCGGCCCGGGCTGGGCAGCCTGCTCCGGGGGGCTGAGGGGCAGGCCGTGCGCCTCGGCCGGCACGGGCACACCGCCCGCAAACCCGTTCTGGGCAGCGGGCCCCAGAGGGAAGGGGGACGGGGCCGCGGCCTTCTGCGGGAACGAAGGCGACACGGGGTGGAAGGTGCCCAGGAGCTCCCCGCCCTGCAGACTCTCCTTCAGCAGCTCCTGCGAGTGCGTCTTCTTCGTGTGCCGCGTGAGGTGGTCCTTGCGCCCGAACCTCTGCGCGCAGAACTGGCACAGGAAGTCCTTGCAGCCCGTGTGCACCACCAGGTGGCGCCGCACGTCCTTCCGGGTGTAGAAGCAGCGCTCGCAGTGGTCGCACTGGTGCTTCTTCTCCTTGGCGGTGCCAGGCGGCTTCTCCTCCGCGTGGGCCTTCAGGTGGTCCAGCAGCACCTCGGTGCTCGCCAGCTCCAGGGCGCAGACCCCACAGGTGAGGTCCCCGGCGCTGGCCGCGTGCAGGGCCAGGTGGCGCTTGTAGCCCAGCATGGTGTTGTACTTCTTCCCGCACTCCTCGCACCCGAAGGCCATCTTGTTGGGGTCGTGAGTCTGGAGGTGGTTCTTCAGGTGGTCCTTCCTGTTGAACGTCTTCTCGCAGTGGGCGCACTGGTGAGATTTCTGGGGAGAGTGGGTAGCCATGTGCCTAGGGGGGAAGCAAACATTGCACAGCGGGAGTTGGACAAGGGTGTGGAAATAACAGCACCCAGAATGTTAAAAGTTTGGTACACGTTCACTTTAAAACTACATTTCTGTATTTCCCAAATACATAACATTTTATCATTGAAAACCAAGAGCTACCCGGACTCCCAGCACTCTGGGGGGCTGAGGCAGGAAGATCACAAATCCGAGCCCAGCAGTAAGACCCTGTCTCAAAATAAAAATATAAAAGGCTGGGGATACAGATCAGTGTGAAGACCCTGGGTTCAATCCCCAGGACTGAAAACAAACAAAACCAGACCAAAAAACCAGCAAACCCAAGGACTACTAAAAGCATAATGCAATTTGCACACCCAGAAGAAATGCCTTTTGAGAAGATAGTGTGTCTTGCTAATGTATATAGAGTTCTAGACAAATACGAGTTTGAAAAGTATGTGATGGAAGGCTGAGGCGGGACAGTGGCAAGTTCGAAGCTAGCCTGGGCAACTTAGAGAGACCCTATCTCAGAATAAAATTTAAAAAGAAGTTCAAGTCTCCCTGGTTCAGTCTCCAGTACTGGAAGCAACAACGAAACCCTATCCTTAACTTTGGAGAAAATATGTAATTGGAACCCACTTTTTAAAAACTGTCATCTTTAAGCTTTATATAATAACTGAAACACCAAGTACTATATGTTAGTATTTCTCACACATTCTTTTTTTTTTTTTTTTTTCTGGTACTGGTGATTGAACTCAGGACCTTGCACTTCCAAGGCAGGTCTGAGCTAAATCCTTGACTATATGCTAGTATTTCTTATAAAACAGAATCCTGCATTACAGCTTGCGGCTTGCAGGTGCCACATACGTTGCTCTATCCCTTAAGGCATCCTCTTAAGAGGCTTGTCTTACTAACAATTTTAGTGCAACTGTATCCTCTGAGTTTGTGACTTTGGATACAAAAAAATTTCTAACAACTCATTCTATTAAAAAAAATACACTCTCTTTCAGACTATATGTTTAACTCAAAAGTATATTTAATTATACCTTTTACCACTGCCTACTCTATCTTACCCATTCCCGATAAGTAGTCGCGAACAGCAGTGGTTTAGAAGACAGTGGTCTCACTAAGAGTCAGACTGGAAGCCAGTTCCAAAATTATAAAGCTGATATGGATCACTGTTTTCAAAATAAAAGCAAAACCTCCTTGTACACCTCCTTCCTCTGTCTCTTAAACAAGAGTAACCTGCCATGTGCAGGGAATAAAAGGTTGGCATGTAAAACGTGCTGAGAGACAAGAACCAATACAACAGGCATTTGAGAAATCAGACATGCTGCTGTCTCCACATTCCGGATGTACTTAGGTGCATCCATAGGTTCCACAAAGGGTTTTTAAAAGCATGTTAAGAGGGGCAGTAGCCATCTTGTTCTAAAGATATCCACATGTGGCGGGATTGGTATGGGGCGGGGCTGACTTCCAACTTAGTATTCACACTGTTTCTATTTGGCTTACTAATAATAGATCGTGCTGCAAAGGACTGTCCCAAGTCTTCTCTTGTTGGCTTTCTTCCCCTTTCTTTGTGGAGGATTTTAATCTGGCTTGATTTCATCTATCATCCATGGACTGTGACCATAAGACTCCGTCTTGGACTTGAACTGCCCTGCCAAATCATCTCTTCTCACCCTTTGCTGACTGCACCTAACTGGTTTTATTGTCTGCTGTACTTGGACCTATGTTCTTTTTCTGGTTAATCAAGTCAGTTATTTTGTCCTTCAATTACTGTTCATAAAATAGAACTCCTGTGTAATGCTGGGAGATGGGGTGGAATGCTGCCCTATTACCTTTTCTTTTTTTAGGACAAACCTAAAGCATCCTGCCATCCCAGTCTCATTCCTTTAAGATTGTACGGCCAGAGAGACTCTGGGGGCTGGGGCAGGGAGCTCAGTGCCTGCATAAAAGCACATGGTTTCCCTGTTTTGCTTACTTCACACCCTTAACTGGACAAGCCATTTCCCTTGAACTACCTCAGTGATGCTTAAGACATTTTCAGTGCAGTTTCACCACATAATGCCAAGGAATTTGACTCCAATAATCTGCTTGCTCTGCTGTCTTTCCCAGGTATTTCTCTCCTTCTGTGTCTCTCAAGCTTTATCCCCGAGACTGAGCCACAGCCCAGGCCACTGTAGGTGCTGGGGTGATGCCTGCTGCCTGCTCAGCAGCAGCTTGATGCACAATAGGGAGCCGCCGAGATGACCCTGGTGTGCACTGTGCGCATTCAGACCGCTATCATGACAACTAAGTGGCCTGTGTGCACAGGAAATGCTCGAATTGTAAAGTGCCTATACATTGACAAGCTTAATTCAAACAATCAACCTATAGCACAGTACAGCATCTGTAACAGTGGTGTGCTTACAGCCAGGAGCATGATTTACATTTTCTTTCACGTCATTCAAGTGCCTTCCTCTGGGCACTCCAAGATTGAATAATAATGAGGCCCGTTAATATCACTCAAAGGAAAGGCATGCTTGCTACTGCTGGCTCTCACCTGTGCATTTCTATGTGTGCATCAGAAAGCTGAAGCCTAAAGACACGGGCAGAGCACATTTCCCCTTACCAGGCATCAAAAGCAACACAAATTAGTGGCAGTCCTAGTGCGTGGCTCTGCGAGCCCCACAGACATCGGCACACAGCCTCCGCTGGCAGGCACAGTACTGTCTGGCCGAATAGTCTGCCTTCTCTATATTACTACAGTCCTTGGAAACAGAAGCTGTATGTCATGTATCATTTCCCTCGTGGCATGGAGTACCTAATAGCTCTCAAGAAATAATTCAGATTAAACATATATTTCTTTAAGAGACTCATCTGGTACAGCAGTGTTCTGCAGCGCTCACAGGCTGCGCATCTGCACACACAATGGAACCCACTTGTGCAGGTGCCTTTCCCACGCCAGGTGACAAGCTGCTCCAAAAACCTGCACCTGTGGGGTCTCCTCCTCTCCAGCCTCTCTCGAGGGACCTGGGTAAGCCCTTGCACCCTCTGCCTGCACTCTCGAAACAGGAAGCAGGAGGCTGTGTTTTCTAGTGTCTGCCTGCCTACCTCCTCGGCTGTGGGCTCCTTGCCCTTCTGCCTTCATGCCGGCTGTGTATTACATACAGGTGCACAAGAAATATCTGTCGAAGGAATGAACTGATATTGCACAGCAAAACTGTCAGACCGAAGCACAGCGATCCCTGGAGAGAACAGGTTTAAGGAATGGCTGAAAGGCCACCGCGCATGCCTTTGCCCTTGGAGTGAGCGGTCTGAGGGGGCCGGAGGAGCCTTCCTAGCATGTCTCACCTCGTCAATTTGTATCTGGAAATGAAGGCTTTGCCACAGTCAGCCTGCAAGCACTTGAACGGCCGCTCCCTGGAGTGGGAATAGTTGTGGACAGTGAACTTCTCCAGGGTGAGGAATGTCTGGCCGCATAGCTGGCAGGGGAACGTGGCCATGGGCTTTGCTTCTCACACCTCTCTCTTCAGATGTGCTGACCCAAGGCTGTGCCATTTAAGCACAGATGGAAGGAAGGCACTGTGCACATCAGCAGAGTCACTGCGGCCGGACTGCAGAGAAGGCCAGAGGCAGCATCACCACCCAGTGCTACCCAGACATGGAGCTCTCGGACGTGCCCAGTTCGCTTCCTGCTTCCCCACGTTCCGGTTTACACGCAGCCTCGAGATGCAGGCGCAGGAAGGGTGTCTGCATGGCTACTGCTGGGTGGGGTTCTGCATCACCAGGCGCCTGTGGAAACAAGAAGTTGCCTTGTGTCAGCCATGCACAGCCTTGCTTCTCCTCCCTGCCACTTCAGAAGCAACCGCCCACGCTCAGCACATTCCTCTACACGGCCCTAACTGGCACAGTTCTCCCTGAGCGCTCCAAGAGGCCCTTCTGCCCGGAGAGCTTCCCCTCTGCTTCTCACGAGTGGCGCCATCAAGCCTTCGGCTCGCGCTTCGGGATGATGGGGCACACGGCTTAGGGACCAGGAAGGCTCTTCCCATTGATTCGGCCTACTGTGAGGCTCAGGTGACAAGACAAGAAAAACCCACCTTGGTGTGCTGCAGTGTTTTACTGGTCATAAGCAAAATTCTCCCTCCTATTCAAACCATGGGTTTCCTCCTTCACACACTGTTAGCATAAGATAAGTTGTCTATGACACCTGTTTAAACTTCCAGAGGATGAGAAGAAATCATTTGTATATGTCTAAGGCAATTTGTTTGTCACGTCATGGCGCACAGGGCCTGGTATAAACATGAGTAGAGCTGGGGAGCCGCACTGATGTGGCCAGGCGAAGAGCATGTTTCCATGGAAACGAGACTGACGGCTGCTCTGAAAGCGCAGGCCACACTTCCACTTGTAGCACCGTCTTCTCGAAAGCTGTTCTGTCCCTCTCTGTCCCTTTTGTTCACGAAGTCATTACCTCAGTCTTCAGCTACCCCTGGGCAGGACAGTTGTAGGAGCTGGGCCTGCCAACTCCTCCAACCCAGCCAATGCCACCGAACTCCACGGTCTTTTTTCTCTACCAATGGACCCTCATCTGAGGAAATGCTTACAATGTCTAAGACACCACCATGAATATCAACCTGCCACTACAACTGGAAAATTCCACACCTGACTTCATATGATGGGTTACTTAAAACACAGACACACTAGAAATGTATAAAACTACCTCAGGTTATGGTTAAGGTGTATATGAAATGCAAGTACATTTTGTGTTAAATTTTGTGAGAATTAAGTTCCATTCCCAAGATATCTCATATATATTCATTCCAAAATCCAAACAACTCCAAAAGACCGAAACTCTTGTGGTCCCAAAGTGTTTCATTCATCTATTTTATTCATTCTCCCTGACTCCCTGACTCCCTGGTCATCCTGAGATGACCAGTAAGTCCAACAGAACTTTCCACAATGATGGCAATGCTAGGTATATTATGACTCTTAAACACTCGAAATGTGCCAGTGAGAAGCAGTAATTTATTCTGTTTAATTTCAATAGTCACATGTAGCTAACTGCAGCTTCATGGAACAGGCAGATGCTTAGATTTCCTGGCAAGGCTGGCTTTCCTTGGACATAACTGCATTCACTCTCAGGTGTTTTCCCTGGAATGTGGGAGGAATTTGTGTCATCTATTTTATAAACACAGTGGAAAGATTTGGCAGTTCAAATTCCCGCTTACTCATGTAGGCTATATCCCAAGTTTCTGTTTCCACTTTTATGATAGTCACGTGATGTATGGAAGCGGGGTGGGGTTTGGGGACAATCAACTGAGAGAAAATGACCTGGAAGCAAATTTTAATTAAAAAAATCTCCATACAGATGTTATAGTATTTATGAAACACTGAGATTAAAATAGAACCATGTGTCCATGTACAACTAATGGCTTCTAACAATTCAATGATGGATATGGTGGAGAAAAGACATAATCTCCCCGTGTATGCCCCATCAGTTATTCATGCTGGGAGGAACCCATGCAGACAAGGCACATGCAGAAGGAATAGAAGAGACAAAAAATGATGAGCTGCATACTTTGTTTCTCAGCAGATGTAAATCTCCACTGATCACTTACCAACATAAAAGGAGTACAAAGGAAAATCAGATATATTCAATTTTTAAAACTGCCCTTTGGATAAAGTTTTTCAGATCCACTTTCCGATCACTTGTCGCTAGATTCACAAGCCCAACAGTCATGTACATTGTCCATATGTTCTTTCCCGCTAGCGTTCCAAGATGGTGACTATAATCAGAGCATTAGGATGGCCATGTTTCATTTAGGAGCAAGGCATACTTCCTCCACTTCAGGTTCCCAAACCTTCCCTCAAAAACAAAGTCTCTCAACTTTTTACACATACCTAACTTAGTTTATGAATGTTCTTCCCAAGATCTTGTGAGTTGTAGGTTTGTGTTAAATATACCCAGCCTAACACAAGGGATAAAGTTGGTCCTCAAATGTTGAGCTGAATTAATTACATGATAGTGAACATATTTTAATTTCTTTAGTGATTAGCTCAAATTCATATGAGCTATAAAATTCAGCCACCATAACTATGTATTTCATAAATATGGGCCTTAGAATACAAGTGTTTGCACTGTTTTCATGATATAATCACTAATGTCTATAACTGTCTTTCCCAGCAGACTACACTGAGGATCAAAGCTTAGCTATTAAAATAAATAAGTAGGCTGGGGATTTACCTCAGTGGTTTCGCCACCTGCTGAGCAAGCGCAAGGACCCGAGTTCGATCCCCGATACCAAAAAAATAAAAAATAAAATAAATAAGTAAACTGTGTGGATATGTGCAACATCTCATCACCAGGCACTCCATCGGTACCGGCTACATTCGGATGATTCTGATCTTTAGTTGAAACTTGATGTACTTCTGGCCGCATCCTTGAAAAAGACTTCTGATCCCTTTCTACTGCCTGGCCTACCCACAGCAATCCTAGGAAAACTGACAAAGTGCTGGTCCTGATGAGAGTCTGCCTGTTCTACCGCTCGACAACGGATTGCATCTGAATCTGAAATGTGGTACTATTTCAACACCTGTCACCCTGGAAAGATAGTAAGTCTTCCCCCAAAACATCTCAGGGCATAATTTTCAGTCCCCTTGATTCTAAAAATACTGAGTGAGTGATACAGATCTGCCAGGACGCCAAAGAAGGCTCGTGCCATCTGCTTCATTCTGTTCATGCTGATTATTTTAGGGATGAGAGAGGATCAGACGGGAATAAGAACATATATATATATGGCAACAGCCAGGAAAGACTGTGTCCCTGGGGGCTGGGGAAACAGCGGCGAAGGGGAGGTCAGAGCACAAGTGGAGTTCCAGGACTTTCCTGATGCCACGTAACACAATCACCTAACGGGGGACAACTGTTTCACAGCATTCTCAAAATAAACCATGACTTCTGGCTTCCACTTCCATTGTTCCCTATGATTCAATTCAAGGCCCATTTCTGAGGGGAAAATGAATTTCCATTTTTGGTCTTCCAGGATGGATGCTCTCATTTTTATTTTCACACCATTCATCACTACATCTTATGGATAAGAAAGTTCTACTCCAAATCTCTTCCTCATGCACCAGATATAAATAATGTTAAGGCCAATTTTAAAAGACCTCTAACAAATTTGTTATTTCTTATATTCACAATTAGGAAGCAGCCAGTCCTGGAACAGGAAAGATAGAAATTCTTTGCTGGTCTGCTCCTAGGAAGCATCTAGAGTACTTTTCTTAGTGTCAGTTCTTTGAAGGACTTGGGTAGCAAGTGTCTGTTAGAAAAAAATAAAGAACTACTCAGAACCATCAGCAAAGGTAAGAGGAGGCCAGAAGCTCTGGGTAGTTGTCACTGCTTACTTTTTATTCTGTGCATGTCCTAAAATCTACTGAGCACTGTGCCTGAGTGAATGCCATGCCAGAGAAGGTAGGCTTATATGACTGATCAGTGGGAAAAGGTGCTCATGGCATGTGACCATCTCAAACTACACGTGAGGCCGCGACAAAGCTCTGGGGTGGCCATGGCGGGCTTATGTCAGCCTTGACCAAGAACAAGCCCCTCTGACTTGTCTGGAACTCCATGCAGAATTAGGAAGCACGCATACTGGAGTCCTTGTGTAGACAGGGACCATAACTTTGCTTGGATTTTCCAAGGGGTCCTAGGTCAAACAGGTTAAAGAACAATGACTGAGATGAGAAAATCCTCCTTGATGTTATCAATATTCTGTTGGACTCTTCACAATGTCATTGATATTTCCTAGCCCATGGGCTACATATTTTGTGTCTGGTTTTTGTGGAGTTAAAATGAAAAGGAAAAGCCCTGGGACATTGTTTTTCTCAAATTCAAGTGGTAAAACAACTTGCACAAATTTCATTTCAAATACAGGAAGAGATGATCGTTTCACAGGTCCTGCCCTGAGCGACAGATGTACCTTACAACTAGCTGTAAGGTGCCCTCCAGTCATAGGGTTTCATTTGTCAGCATGTTTTAAAGTCACTTATTTAAAACTCCTCGATGAAGCATTACGATATTATCATTAAGGTCCATCAACACTTGGTCCATCAACACTGCCCAGGATGAGCTCCAGGGCTGTCACCCCACAGTTGCCCACAGCCCGTCAAAGCCTCGGGTGCGTCGCCTTGCTATTCGTGTGCCACATTCTCTCAGGCAAATGTGCTTCCCTCCTGGAATGCCTGCCGTCCTGGTCCACCTGGCCAGCTCCTCTCCTGTCACTGCTGGACAGAGCACTGAATTCCTCTTCCGGCCAGTGGGGTGCACGTGACTGTCCCACAGACATGTCCTCCACACCTGCCTGAAGCTGTTTCGCCTCAGTATGTGCTCACTGGCCGGAAGCTCGGCTGCCCCTGCCCCCATCCTGCTGTGGTAGGGCCATCCCACAGCCTGCTGGACACTCAGGTTTACTGCCTACAGGTTTCTTAAACTGTTGCCTTGAGAGAATTTTGTTATGCCAGCAACTAAGCTCTTATTTTCTTAGAAATGAGGCCTTAAATAAGCAAGAACACCAAAGTGAAGTGTTTATCTAATATTCAGAGAGAAAAAGAAAGCTCTCTAGTGCAGTATAGCCCTACTTTAGAACATCAGGTCTATGTACTAGCCATAAAATTCGAAAAAGGATGGATGCATTCCATTTGCAAATAGCATGAGTTGTATCTACTTAAAGATGGTAGAGTGAATAAAAGCATGTTGCTCTGGTCTTCCCAGAAACTCTGCTACAGACAAGGGGGAAGGGGAGGTTCCCTCAAGGACCCAAGCATTACCCTACAATGAGGCCCTTGTTGACAAGCCCTACCTAAGTACACAAGAGACGCTTCCTTGGCTCTTTAATGGCTCTCCACTCCCACATCAGTAGGCAGTCAAGGATTACCAGGAAACAGGATACAGCATCTGCGAGGAAAAATCACTGCAAAACTTATAGGAAAAAGCAGCTAGGATGGGGAAGAGAGAACACAGAAGAAAAATTTAAAAGCTACTATTGTTAATATCCTAAAGGGGGGTAGGAGAGATACTTAAAAGATGACCAGGGTATTAAGAGAACGAGATTTTTAAGAGATGCACAATAACAAAAATGGCAGTGGTAAGCATAAGACCCCAGGAGCAGGGACAGTTATTGGAGGCAGGCATCTCAGAATCTGCGATTTTAATTAATTTTCCTGATGACTCTTAGCCACCTTCAAGTTTGACAATTCAGCTTCTTTAGAGGAAACCTGATGTTTTCCATGTAAGTTGGTCCTATTGCTCACTAATGATTCCCCCACAAAGCAACTCAGCTAATATAATCTGGAGACTAATAGTAAATCATTTACAAATAAAATGGCTACAATATGAATAGTTAGATTAAGAACCTGGAGTTACTTTTAAGTTAACAAACAGTTTATGATCTTTACTACATGACAAACTTACTTATTAAATGTTTCATTATTGTACTACGAGCTGTGGATCATAGAATAAGGCAATGAACAGAAATAACAGATATAAATTTAAAATAAACCTTTCATTACTTGTAGATCATGGTCTACATAGAAGACACAAAAGAATTCATACCAGAAGATTAGCATTACAAAGGTTGTCATTGTTTAGTTATCAAAATCAAACTACAAAATTCAACTGCATTTCTAAATACCAGCAAAGAGAGATATAATTTTAAATGCCACATATATTAGCTGCAAAACAAAGATACCTAAATAATGCCCAGCAAAAGGAAAAGAGGCGATATATAAAATGGAAGTCACAGACAGGATGCGTGTATTCAAAGATGTTCATGCTTTGGAATCAGCAGATATAATACAATACAATTGCTCATGGAAAAGCAATAAATCATAGTGAAAATAATTAGCAAGGTAGATAGGAATTTAGTTGTTTAGGGAGCAATCAGCTGTTGATGGGGAGATCAGGGTAAGTTTCAAGGAGGACTCCAAGATTAAGATGAGCTTGCAGGTTTAGCAGTTGTTCAAGGGGGGGCTGGTCCACTCCAGGCTAAGGTAACAAATGGACATAGGACATCTGAAAACAAGTAGTTTAGTAGGACTAGAACAAGGGCTCGAATATGAGGTAGAGCAGTGAAGCAGGATGGAGAAGCAAGCACATACCAAGTCATGAAGGGTCCATTCTAGCTAGCTAGGGAAGCGTACATTGGTTGTACATTTTCAGCAGACTCACTCATTTGCTCAGTCAAGACCGTACCAGCTCTGGCGGAGGCAGACAGTGAGAAGAGAAGAGTAACCATAGGTAGAGAAAGCCCGTGAGACCCTGTCTGAACAGGATGGGGAAGAAGCTGTGGAGGTGAAGCCCATGACTGTGGGCCTCAGAGTCATAGAGAATGGAGAGAAGCCAAACTCCCCAGAAGAAAGGATGGTCCAGGCACAGATGACCAAGGAGCCAGTAACAGGAAGCCATTATAAGCAACAGCCTGGTCATCAGATGCCACTTTCTGATGCTAACTCCGGCAGGAAGGAGCCACATAGGAGTGTAGCGGGCCTGGGCCAGGTGGAGACCACTTAGACTTCCACTCTGTCACAGAAGAGGTAACGCTGAGCTGTCCAAGGAGAAAAGTTCTAAGTGACCCTTTGTAAGCAGACTAGTTAGATTAGGATTTAGGATCCCCGAAAGAGGTGAGAGTGGTGGCAGAGATGGAAAGTCCCAGAGGAAAACTCCAGCGAAAAATAGGAGCTAGGAATTTCATTTTAGACATGTTGAGTTGAATGGTGCTTAGTGCCACTCAGGCCAGTAAGGAGATGCCCAGCATGGAGTTGCTGGAATCCTCTTCCAAAGAATGGTGAGCAGGCCCAGCGTGGTGGTCCACACCTGCACTCCCAGTACTCTGGGAGGCTGAGCAGGATTGCAAGTTTGAGCCCAGCATGGGCAACCTGGAGAGACCCTGTCTCAAAATAAAAGAGGGCTGGAGATGTAGCTCAGTATGAAGGGCCTGGGTTCAATCCCCAGTACTGGGAAGGAGGGAGGGCAGGGAAAGGATGAATGGATGGACAGTGGGACAGACAGAGACAAACGGTGAATGGGACCCTTTGGCTTCAGGAAGATGACACCACCTGAATTCTGAACACTGCTTATCCAGGTGACTTTACAAATGTCTCTGAGCTCTCTGTGGGTGGCCTTGAATCCTGACAGGAAGCTCACACAACCAACTTTGATCACCAGTGTTCCTCCTCCCCAGAGTAGTTTGGTGAAGTGGGTTCGCCTTGGGCAAAGGAAGACTTTGTTTTCTTTCCAGCAGGCCACAGCTGGAGTAATCCTCCCCTCAGATTCCTACTCTGCAGGCCGAGTGCCACGGACCTGTGGGGACATGCAGCTGTAGGCGCTGCAGTCACAGAGGAAGGCCCTGCCTGGAAGTGCCCCAGCTTCCTCTGGGGGGACATGGGGCAGGGACTGCTCTGTGGTGTTAGCCATCAGCAAATGGGAACTGAGTCTCAGTTCAAAGCTTGACAAGGTCTGCTACGTAACTCCTGCTTGGTGACAGTACGAACAAGACCCAGACAGCTTTAAAATCCCCTTGGTTGCCTGTCCTCTAGCAGAAGGTGGCTTTCTACAGCCGGGGTCTCTCTTTGTTCTGTTCTGTTTAGCAGACTGGAGAGAGTAGCTAATTTAGAGCAGAGCTGGCCACTACTAGGAGAAAAGCAGCAGCAGCAGACACCAAGTGCGTGTGACGCTGTCTCACCCGGAGTGGGAAGCAGCCCCCAGGGGCACTAAGCCCATGGATGTGAGCCCCAAAGAGCCACAGGTGCCAAACCACAGAGGAGCGAGGCCACTCTGCGGACCAGGCCCGGGGGCGCATCACCATCTTGTGCATCCTGACTCCCAGGCCATGACCGCCACGGCTGCCCTTCCTTGTTGTGCAGAGGTGACGCAGGGCTGGCCTGCTGGGGTTCCCAGGCAGCACCACAGCAACCTAGGGGATGGCTGTGTCCAGAAAGGCAAGTGTTAAATCCAGGATTGGCTCTCAAGCAGAGACGGATTGTCCTTGTTTGAAGAGGACTATTTATCAAGGAAGATTCTAGGTAGCCTGGATGGCGGAAGGGGTGACAAAGGGCTTTGGTACTAGGAGCAGATTTCCTAATCGTTAAAAGTCAGGGATGGGGGCGGTTCCTTTGTGACAGCTGAAAATGTATCCCCCTCCTCCCTCCCTATAAATCTGCGCCGACTGGCCTTTAGACCCTTTTAGGGTCTGCTTCTATAGCTGATGGCGTAATCTCTTTTCCTGGATGCTAAGTGTAGGTCATGGAGGAACCAAAACTCCAATTAACAGCAGGGCCTATTGTCCCAACAGGGCCCCTGCTTAGGGGGAAGAAAAGCCTGGTTCCATCTCAGGAGGCGTGAGGGTGCAGGCTCACCCTGAGAAAAGGGAGGTGAGCATCTGAGCCATGCTGACAAGGAGAAGCCAGACTTGAGAGTCTAAACTGAAAGGAAACTTAATCTATGCTAGCCAGAAAGGATGCTCATGGCTTGGGTTGTTTGATCTTAAGACAACAAACAATGTTACCAGACAGAAAAAAGACAAGCAAGGCTGGGCACGGTGCGGTGGCACACACCTGTAATCCTAGCACTCGGGAGGCTGAGGTAGGAGGATCACCATGAGTTCAAGTTCACCCTGGTCTACACAGTGAGTTCAATGCCAGCCTGAACATGTAGTGAGCCCCTGTCTCAAAAAATAAAAGAAAGAAATCAGTTTGTCAGCAGGATCTGACAGGGGAATGGGATGAGATAATATGTAATTTTTCTTTTTCCTTTCTGAATATCTACACTGCCTAAATTTTGATTACAACCACTTAGACTGAGTCCTGAAGTACCACCAGCTGGGCAGAAGAGGAAGGCGACTGCAGGCAGAGGGAAGAACAGGAAATCAGCACATGGTGCTTTGGAGCTTGGGGCTGGGGGGTGGGGGGCAAGAGGCCCAGGCGGCTCGGGGAAGTGGGCTTAGCTCGGGGAGTATGTGAGGTTCCGCGGACTCCTCAGAGTCATGGCCCATGTCCCTCCCCACACAACTGAGCTGTCTGGAGAGAACAGCAAGCCCGAGGTACTGCTCTGAAGATCCAGGCCCTTCGACCCCTCCAGTCAAGCCCAGGACCAGTCTGATGACCCCAGACAAAAATGTGATGGGTACTTTTAAAACGACAAAGTACACTTTTTTTTCAAGCTTTGTCAATGGATGAATATCCAGAACTTAAACTGTATATAGATGATTGTGTGAGAAAAGTCAAACTGCTATGCTTGTGCCCCACAAATTGTTCATCCAGAAATGAACAAATACTGAAATATACAAATATTTATTAATGGTCCTTTATGACCCTCTGGGATTAGTTGGTTTTTTTATTCCCTCCTTTAAAACTGCTAAACATTTCATTGGGTTTCTGTTTCAGAAGCAAGCAGCACTGAAGAACAAGGCAACTTTTCTAACAGGCACTGGCTTCTCAGAAAGACGGGGAAGGAATGTAAAGGAAACGGGGAGAAAAAGTGGAACACTTGCAAGCCAGCCCCTCTGCTTTTCACCTTGTGTCTTTTTCCTTCCCCATTCACAGCTGTGGCCCTTTGTTTGTTTAACAGACCATTACAATCATCCGGAGTTCAATGGGGGAGGAATGTGAGCTCAAAAGGAGCTGTCCCTACAGTCCACATATGTGGTCATCCCTGCCCAGCCTTCGGGCTCCTGGCTGCCCTGGAGGCCAGCACCTTGCTCACCATAAGCCTGAAACCCCTGGAGGTGTACTTGCTGCTCCTTCTCAGGAGCCTGGAGCAATGTCTCCAGGTGCTCTTCATCTCTGCTGGCCTAACCACTGAGGTCCTGAGACAGACATTGCCTGACGTGTTGGCCGCCCCTGCCCGACCTCCACCTGTGCACCTGCATTGAAAACTGCAGCCTGCTCCTCCCTGACCTCCCAAACCTGGCAGGCTTCCCAACGCCTTTCTCAGGTCCTGGCAGATGCACCAGCTGCACTGGGATGGATTTCACTCCCTTGATCAACAGATCAAAATACTATTCACTAGCAATATATTTCTATAAGAATCAAAAGGACTGTAGTTAATACAATGATGAAGTATTTCAGTGGACCTCATAAAGCCCTCCCCTGCTAGTTTGTCTAATAATTTCTATCTCACAGCCTTGTGAGGCAGCTACAAAGGCATCAATGTTCCCTTTAGGGCTCAGAGGACTTAAATTCTTTGCCCAGAAGCACTGACTGATGAACCTGCAAACAATGTCTGTACCACACTAAAAAAAGGCCTGGTCCAGAGTGAGCACTCAAGAAGTATCGGTCCCCTGGATGCAGCCTCTGTCCCTCCTCACCAGTGACACCGATGGATGCTAACAGTACACTTTTAGCAATCTCTTTCCACTTCTGCCCCAGCCACACTGTCTGCAGGAGCAGAGACCTTTAGCAGGAGCTCTTACTGCTGTATTTCCAGAGAAAGCCTCAGAACAGCAGCAGGCCTCCTGGTGTAGCTGCATAGGACTAGCACTTCCCCGGGATGAACCCTCAGCTTCTATATGGGTGGGCAGCCTCGACACATCATGAGCATACAGGTAAGGCCTACCATCAGGGGCAGTTTCCAAGCTTTGAATTGACAAGGTTGTCAGTAGAAAACTCCACAGACCTGCAGTGTTACTGCGGCTGTGGATGGGGGTCAGCAGATAAGTCCACTAACTGCTTCATCAGATTCTCTGAAGTGCAGTGTACACTGATGCTTTAACAAAAGAAACGCAAAACACTCCTGTCCTAAATTATTTTGCAGTTTGATGAAAAGGGGAAAGTCTACTTATTCTCCACTAGAATCTTGACGTACCCTTGCCTCAGTTTGCTGTTTTCAAGCAATTATGCATATATACACCCAGCTAGAATTGATTTGAAAGCTTGCACACCTACTGGGTGACAGGAACCGTCGGCCGTGAGGTGGGATGAAGTCCTTCCAGAAGTCTGAAGATCCAATCTGTAAAAGAGACCTTGTACATCTTCAGTCAATGACATCAGAAAAACACTCTCCCGTTGTGCAGTAACCTGAGCTCCGCTTTACAAGCACATATTCGTGTACCCCATTTCGGTGTAGGAGATTTTTTACTGCTTTTTTCATGCCTTTTATTGGATGCTCTTTACTTATATCCTTTGTCCTACTGCAAGTGAATTAGAACAACTCTCAAGTTTTTCCCTGCTTTTTCTGCAAGTAGAAAAAAAAGAACACATGAAATTGCTTACCCAAAACATTCAAAACAGCACTCAGAGGAAATGGTATTTCTTTTAAACCAACAGCATTTAAATACCATAAACAGGTATGCAAATCTATGCAGTAATACAACTTGAAACAAATTATGAATTGAAAGAAAGTCGGCAATGACCCATCAACACTCACTTTCAACAAAAGCTTCAAATAAACATTGAGATCTATCAAATAAGCAAGGCCAAAAGGCTGGCACCTCCAAATTGAATATTCGATTTAGTACTGACTAAACCTGGTTACGCATCAAAAAATCTTTTAAGGGCTGGGGATTTAGCTCAGTGGTTTCGCTACCTGCTGCGCAAGCGCAAGGAGCCAAGTTTGATCCCCGTACCAAAAAAAAAAAAAAAAATCTTTTAAAAGGACAGATTCTTAGGCCACAGGTAAGCCAGCACAGACTAAAAATATCTTAGGTACCCTGAGAATTTAGTTTCTATTTTTTTTTTTTTTTTTGAGACAGGGTCTCCCTATATAGTTCAAGCTGGGCTCAAACTCACTGTACAGTCTAGGCTGGCCTCAAACTCATGGCAATTCTCCTGCCTCAGCCTCCCCAGCGCTGGGATTACAGGCATGAGCCACTATACCCAGCTCAGAATTCATGTTTCTACCAAGACCTTAGGAACCAAGTCTGCTGCTGGCTTTGTACCACCAAACTCTGATGAGCATTTCAAAACCAGTATCTCTGTTCACCAATTAGTGATAAAACTTGGCTTCTAAATCCCATTAAAACCATTCCGACCAACAGATCCTCTTAGGGGAAAGCTACATAGGCTTTTTTTCACTGGTACAAAAGGTAAATTGATTATGAAACAAAGCCAATTATAACTCACCTACGTGATCCAATCACTGGCTGCCTGCTCCTGTTAATTTAATCAGAAGGGCTGTGCCCCTTTACTTTATATAGAATAGCCTTTTAAATTAAAAATGGAGAAATTAAGACTTTTTCAGCCAACTAACATTTCAAAACAACCCAACACAGCTCAAGGAAGAAACTGGAGGCGAATAGGTTATGTGTCTGAATCAGTCTGTGTTTGATCGCTCCCTTATTTTGCATGTATAAACACTTCGCAAATCATCTGCATGGGCGCTGGGAGCAGCTCACCTCCTGTGTGCTAGTGGGGGTAGTATGGCGGCCCAGAGGACTCCTCTTGTCTGCTGGGAGCAGCAGAGCCACAATTCTAACTCAGGTTAAGTCTGGTTTGTTCCAGTTTAATATCTCTAGGGGCCAAAGGCCTCCTAAGAACCCTATGTGACTGTAATCCCAGCTACCTGAGAGGCTGAGGCAGGAGGATTGCAAGTTTGAGGATAGCCTGTGTGAGTTAGTGGGACAATGCTTCAAAATAAAAATTTTTAAAGGGCTAGGAATATAGCTCAGTGCTCCCTGGGTTGAATCTCCTCAAATCCCACAGAATAAATGTAGGTCACATTTAACTTCTCTGTATGTTCTCCAGGAAGTTCCATGGGGGAGTCCATTATACTTTAGGTGGTTTTCATCTGAATGCTTATAGCACAGAAAGAAAGGTGCCCATGTGAAGTGCTGGATACATTAATTTACTTGGCTGCAGTGAGTCACACTCATGTTGGTGGCCGGGGGTATAGCTCAGAGGTAGGCTCTGTGCTTTGTGTGCACAAGGTCCTGGACTCAATCCCCAGGACCTTCTTGGATCAACTCTGGCAGTAACCAGTCTTGGCCATAGGTTATATGCATTATAAATATGGTCTGTTAAAGGACTGCTTTTCATTTTCTTAACGATGTCATTTAAAGTTCTAAATTTTGATGGAATCTCATTTATCAATTTTTTTCTTTTATACATCATGTTTTTTATATCCTAGGAAATTCTTGCCTACCCTAAATTCATAAACATGTTCCCTTACAGTTTCTTCTTAAAATACTTTTAGGCTTTCATATTTAGGTTCATAGATCCTTTCAAGTTATTTTTATGTATGGAAAGAAAGGGTTGAGGTTTTTTATATATGGATACCAGGTGTTCTAGTACCATTTACTGAAAACCCTATCTTTTCCTCAGCTCTTGAGTTTATATTCTATAAAATGTTAATGTTAAATAATCTTTCAAAACTCAGTGGACCATATATGTGTGGTTCTATTTCAAGATTCTCTGTTTTATTCCAATGATCTATATGTCTTTCCTTACACCAACACTGCCTTGATTACTGTAGCTTTAGAAGAAGTCTTAAAACTAGGTACTAAACGTCTTCCAACACTGTTTTTTTGTGGTTTTTAAATTACTTTTCTAGGTCCTTTGTACTCCTACATAACTTTTAAATTTCAATATCCAATTCTTCATTTATAGCAAGTATACACAGACCTGAATTTTTATATATACCTTGTGTTTTCTAATCCTGCTAAATTCAAATACAAGTTCTAGGGGCTCCTAGAGATTTCTTAGTATTTTCTCTGTAGATGATCATTTCATCTACATATAAAGATTTCACTTCTCCCTTGCCAATCCTATCCTAATTGTGTCATCCTATTGCCAGACTATTTTGGTGAGGCCTAGGTTTCAAAGTTTAATGGACAGATGAAGAGTAGGCATATCTGCCCTTGTTTCTCACCTTAAGGAGAAAGCATTGTATCTTCTCCGTTCATATAAGGTGTTTTTGCTGGAAGTATGGAGTACATGTCTTTGATCTGTTGAGAAGGTTCTGTTCTATTTCTAGTCTCCTGATAGCTTTTACCATGATCAGCTGTAGAATTTAGTCCAATACCTTTTCTCTAACTACTGACAGGATCATATGGCTTCTTCCTTTCCTCTGTTAAAATGATGACTTTTGGGGGTGGATCTTCCAATGCTGAACCAACACTGCCATCCCTGTAATAAAACCACTTTCTACATACTGCCAGATCTGACTTCTAATAGTTTGTTTTATTAAACATATTTCTATCTATGTTCATACTTTTTTCTTCTATTATCTTTATCCAGTTTTAGTATTAGCACAATGTTGATTTCCTAAAATGAGGGGAGAAGTGTTCCTTTTTTCTGCTTTAAATGTTTGATATAATTCACCAGTTAAAGTGTATACAAGCCTGTTGTTGACATATAGGTAGGTTTTCAAGCTAGGAATATACTTTCTTTAATAGGTGCTATTCAAATTTTATATTTCCTCCAGAGTTAGTTTCATTAATTTGTCTTCCAAGGTACTTCTTAGAATTTGTCAAATTTATTTCAAAACAGATTTTTGTAATATGCTTTCTATATCCTTTTAAATTCTGTAAAATCTGTGGTAATGTCTCCTAGATCTTGATATTGTAATTTTAAAAATGTATAATTGATGTTGTGTAATAGGAAGAAAAGGTCTAAAGAAGTGGAGGAAGTGGGAGGGGTAGGGGAAAGGAAAGGAGCGAAAAGAAAAAATATGAGAAAAGGAAAAACATGGAAACAAAGTCTTTGCAAATAGGGAAGGGTAGAGGGGGTGAAGGGAGGGTAGGGGAATGGGGAAAAAAATAAGAACCAAGAGACTCATGTAATGGTACAAGATCCCAATGATGACTGTAACTGGATTTTATACCTAAAATGTACCAATAAACTTAATGGGAAAAAAAAATCATCTGCATGGACCGCCTGTCATTTTGAAATGCTCAGCATTTATCATGGTGGTTTAAATGGGTGGTCCCCGAAGCTTGAATTAAACTCCCCAGCCCTGAGAGCTTTAAAAAACATTAAGGCAAAAGAATCAAATTCTTCTGCTTGTTCATCTCACAAGTGGACAATCCCAATTTATGTATTCAGAGAGGTGGGGGCTGTCATCCCCTTCCCAGGGAAGGGCTCCCAGAACATGAAGTACACAGCCAGAGGTAGCTTAGCTTCATTGTCAAAAGATTCAAATTATCACCAAAAAAAAAAGCAATTCCTTTCTGAATTCAACAATACTCCTTGGCCTCCAAGGGCTCACACAGGAGCTTATTCTTAAGCTACTCAGCGTGAGTGGCACTGGTGAAAGAGGAGCGCTCTAGCCGGGAGGACCTCAAGCCCCCAGCCACTCCCACCTCACCACCAAGCCCCCGTGGTCACAGCTAAGAATGCAGTGGGAGCCAGGGACGTAGCTCAATGGCGCTGCACCTGCCTGGCAAGCACAAGGTCCTGAGTTCAATCCCCGGTAAGCCCCCACCCCCCAAAAAAAGAATGCAGTGGGAAACCTAACACAGGCCTGGCCTGGGGACAGTCATATGGAGCATATGATAATTTAATACAGTGGAAGAGAGACAATCAGGAAAAATAACACATCTCAGTTTGACAGGATGCTACTTGCAGGCTGTTTTCCAGGTCTGGATTTAGATTTCAAAAGCAGAGAAAAAGGTTTTCAGATGGCAGTTTCTTTTCATGTATGTAGTAAAAATGACCCCATAAAGTTAAACCAAAAGATCAAAGTTTCTGAGTTCCAGAGCGGCACAAAACAAAATCATACTTTTCTAGGAAGGGACATTACCACGTGGTAACCAGATTCATTAATTATTTTCAATGAATGGAAATAGTTTTTAGGAAGCCTCTCACTGACAACAAAGAAAAGTTTTGTAAATCTAGAGCATATGGTTTCTAGAATCCCTTTCTGCTGGGACAATTTTTTTTCTAGGTGACTGCTTCTGAGAACAGAATTTAGGAACATACTTTTTCTCACTTAATGAATGGGGTTAGCTGCCTGCCGAGCATTTGCTGAAACCCAAATTGCACAAAACGATTTCTCCCAGTTTTAGCTCATTCACTTCTAGTGACTCCTGGTTTTACTTAAGCAAGCTCTCCAAACTCACTTTTTTTGTTTTTTAAACTTCTCATGATTTGAGTGGAAAAGAACTGAGCAAGCCCAACCCTGAAAAGTCTGTCTTGGTTTTCAGTGGAAAAATCTTTTAGACTGAAGATTTGCCAGGTTTGTTTTTATAAAGCCTCTCAAATGTTTAACTTTCTTTCTAAAGACCGTAATTCCAGATG